CACCATTTTGCAGCTTGCTGTCTTTTTTTCTTTTTTTTTTTTTGCAGTTCTGTGGTAGAAACTGAAAGAATCAAATTCTCAATATAATTTTCTATTCTCAGTCCCCTCTAAAAAAATAAATAGAATTCAGACAATAAGTATTTATGTTTGTCATACTGACTACAGGGTTCTATCAGTTCTATCAAATACAAAATGTAACAACAGTCCCTCAATGCTGAACTGGAGTTTAACCCAATCAATGCATGTTTGAGTGTCTGGTTAATGATAAGATTGTGAAATTTCTACAGAGGATATTCATAACTGATAACATAACTAAAGATGCAGTAGGGCATATTTTATCTAGTAGATGATGGCTATATTTAATTAAGTACTTATTGAAAATCTAAAAATAAGGGATATCCAAATTAATTCCCATCCAGATCACAACAGACGTCATTCACATATGAAACAATGAAAAAATGAAAAAATACAATTAAAACGTACAGTACATGCATTCGATGTACAGGTACATGTATACGTGAACAGCAAGTTTACGATCTATGCCACATCTAACTGAATAGTTTAACAGATCATTTCTAAAAACAACAACAAAATGTTACAGACAACTAGATCACCGACTCCCATATGGAGAAAGACATTCTTTCTTGAGCAATTACTTGAGCAACATTTATTTCACTCCAATGCAGACGAATAACTAGTCTTTGCGTTCCTAAAAAAAATAACATCATTGAAAACTATGCATCGTGCAAACAGAAAGAGCGAAACACTTGCCTATTTCCTCTTGGATATCTGGCTATGCTACAATTAAGTTCCAGGGACCATCCCACGGCTAGGGTATAAAGATTAAAGTTCAACTTTGATGTCTGAGATGCTTCAATTTTATTATGATCTTCTTCTTCCGGAGAGTTGGCGGGAGATAACGCGAGACTGTATGATGACGTCTCACCGCGCATCATTGTATCGGTACGCTAAGAAAATTAATTCATTGGATTCTTACAGATTTCATTTGAGTGTGCACGAGCATATGTCAAAATATCATACCCAACTCTTTAAAAGCAACGTTTTGTTTAATTAATGTTATATTTTTGATATTTCTCACTGTGTATCGTGACCCTGGCATCGTCAAAAATAGTCCCTAGAGGTGTAAATGAGTTGAGGCAAAATGGCGGAGTGAGAAGGGACAGGAAATATACCAAGAACATTTTAGCAGTGTGCGTGTCACTAACGTGGAGCTTTTGTTAAATCTACAGGCTGTCTGTTACGATTAAAACTATCTTTTTGGATTACAGTACATTTGATGTAGGACAAGATCTTTTGAACCGGTGATATTTTCCCATCAAGGTGAGTTATTTCCTCCCCCGAAAGGGATGTTTTTAATGACAGACACTGTAGTGGCAAGAGCCTCTAACACCTTCATTTGTGATCGACAAGTCCCTCCATTGTCAACTTTTACTCCCTTGGTGACAAGTCTTCTGGAAGTGAACCAAAGGAATAAAACGTCAAATTACAATGGCGGTTGCCGCTTTTGAACTGCACAAACCGGTTGAACACAAGCCTAGTTTCTGATATCAATGGGCGTGAATCATCTAGAGTCGGTTTGTGAATGTCATCTAGCAATATTTTATTTTTATTTTTATTATTTTTTTTCTACAAGTAATTTCATGTCTGGGGATTCATCAATCGTCATTCATATCACCCAAGAGTAATATTATATCACAATTTTACTTTTTTTTGTGCAATGGATCACCATTTCTATACCAAGTGCATTAGCCCCTGCTGACCTGGAAAACAGTGTTTTTACTTTGGGAATTAAGCAGCACTTAATAGGTGTTAATTGTGTGTGTGTGAGTGTGCGTTTAAGGTGGATCTCAGAGATATGCATTTTGGTGGCATTTACAGATTTGTTCTTAAAAATTTTGGTATGACAGCTCAGAAAGTTGCTAGGTGTGTTGTGAAATGTGGGGGTAGGTGTAGGATATGTGGGAGTTCGTCGTAAGTCGTAATTAAGCATTTTATACTCTATGTGCAAAGTTTGGGAAGTGCATGCAAACAAATATTTGTTCTCTTTATAATTTATCCTTTAGATATTCCTGAGCATAACCTAAATCTAATTCTGATTTATCTTTATCTTCTCTAAAAGGTGCAAATAGGTCATGAGTAATTGGAGATTGTTCATTTTGTAAACATTGTTTTGGTATCTAGATAAGTAAATGATTTAGGTCCGTTTGCCATGTCCTTGTTGAAGACCAAGATTAAGCCAGTTATTAACCAAGTGTGGAGATATGTGCCTGATTTACAGTGCTTTGCATACATGTATAAGTGACTGGACAATGATTCTAGATTACTGATAGCATATCATTGAACAGATTCAGTGATAATTACATGCCCCTGCATTTTTCTTACTTCTGTTTCTTTCAGCAATAACTCTGTATGTGGAAAGAATATTTTATTTTATTCCTGGGGTAGCCCTAACACTTGCCAATTTAGCAAAATGCTAAAACTGACTTAAGTTGGCTAAACAAAAACTAGTTGATTTGACTTATTTTAGTTGAATTTAAACCATTTGGAGAAAAAAAGGGATGAAAAAGTACTCTGAAGTGCCAAATAAACGTGCCGGCACGTTTATTTTTTTTCCGGAAATTTTCCACCCGGCACGATCTTATTCTCCCCGGCACGATTAATAATTTTCCACACGGCACGGTTATTTGGCACTCACTGTGCCGGTTGGAAATATTTTTGATCGTTTCGGAAATGTTGATGATCGTTTCATTGGACAAGTTAATAATTATTAATGACCTGTCGCAAGCACTACACTCGAACTTGTTTTTAGCGTAAATAAAAGCCAGTGTTTCTCCAGCATATAAAGAGCGAGGCGCCGCGCTGAAATTTGTCAAAAGCACCGCCTCGCTGGGCTGAATGGAACAAAAAAGTTTATTTTCACTCATGCTAACTGAAATTTATATTTATTTCTAAGCAAATATGGCATTCTATTTACATACTGTGCGTAATCCCATGCTTCTGAGCACTTGATTTAGTAGTAACGAAAATACGCATGCGCGTATGCCATCTCCCTGTGAGTGCCTCGTTTTCGCAGTTCTGTGCTTTATTTGAAGTATACGAGGCAGAGCGAAACGAGGCAACTGCTCTCGACAACATTTAGTCACATGTCACAAATACACTTTCTCTGTCACTTCGTCATGGTCCGAAATTAAGACCGCCTGTTGTGTGTTTTTATAGTTTACGTTTATTTACTGATAAAAATGGAGAAAATTAAGTGCACTTTGTTGATTTTATAAATTTGGAGAAGATTTTCTACTGATTTACGGGTTAGTTTTGTGAAAGCAGTAGCGTTGTAAAACTGGGTCACGTCAGTATTTCGCGTGCATTGAATATGAATTTCCATGACTGAATAGAATCATATAAATTA